CACGGTCAACCTTCCCACAAATTCTAAAAAATTTTTCTTTTCCGAAATAATCAACCCAAAAACGGTTGCGATTCGGAAAAGTGGTCAAAAACGTCGACTTATGGTACCAAAATTATCCCGATCGGATAACTAGTCTTTGAGAAATCGCCAAAAACGCGTTCGTCAAAATGGCCTTTTTCACCACCTGTATAGGATCTGAAAGACTTTTTTCGCAATTCCGGTCGAAAGTGCCTAAAAATACTTGAAATGAGCGTAGTAGCCCTGTACGGCACTGGAATAATGCAAAAAACCGGACCAAAATTGGTTTAGAAACAAAAATTTGGCCAAAAACTATCAAATTTGGACCCTCCGATTCCTTCCTTTTCCAAACCTTAAGTCGTTAGCTCTATCCACGGAGCTACTCGGAGGGTTACCCAAAAATTTCTCTAGTAACCGAGCACGTTATGCTAGCACGCTCCTAACGCAAAAATTTTATTGCTCTAACTCTAAAAACTCAAAAACTCGATCCCCAAAACAGATTGACAAAATACAGAAAATTATCAAAATTTTGGTCGAAAAATTCTCGTTTTTCTAACTTCCACTGAATCTTTGCTCACGCGGTTTCTTTAATAAAGGGGATCGAACTACGTGGCTACTCTCTATATAAAAGCTTTTTGCCTATCGGAAAAGCTCGGATATCCGAAAATTTGGGGGTCTACAGTTTGGTCGAAAATTGGTAATTTTCGACAAAAAATGGGTGTTTTTTGGGTCTAAACAGGAGATAAGTAATATATAATAAGGATAATAATCTATTAATAGTCGTTAATGAATAGTACTATACCCTCCTTTGCACCAAAATATCCGAACTAAGACCCTTAACTCGGAAATTTGTAATCGATGGAGGGTACAATCGGTCCGCGCCAATCGTGCCCCCCACCACTTAAGTTTTTATGAAATAGTACCCGAACGATACTAAAATTGCTCCAACGATACCCAACAGTCGTTGTGGATGTTGTCCTTGATGTCCCTGTTGAGTGTGGAACACGTTGATCAGCTTGCCACTCTACCCTCCGGTCACCGGCAAAATCACCATTAACGTGCTTAAACACTCAAATTACACTCGAGGGAGGGTACCCAACCCTTCACCAAAACACACAATCTTTCTATCAGAATGATATAAATCAATCTGAAACAACAACAAATAGGAAGGTCAGATCACATCTCGTCCGGAAATAACATATAAACTGTCACTTTATGTTTTCTACTGTTTTTGGTCTTTTTTGGATTTTTTTACTGTTTTTTGTACTTTTTTGTTTTTAAATAAATTTGTTTTTGGCTTTTTCTTGGTTATACACTATTTTTGTTTGGTTTTACGCTTTCTCTTTAATTGTTTTTGGTCCTGGGACCTCAGGACAAGCGGGCTCTAGATTTCCCACCTAACCCTCCGGCCCCCGGAATTTTCGGTGTTAACTAAGTTAAAAAGCTAAATTGCACTAGACGGAGGGTACGCACCTTCCCCCTAGTACAATAACGGTCATTAAGGCCTCTAACTCGGGCATACGCCCGGAGCGGAGGGTTCGTCGCTGAAACGCTTGCTGATCATGATGGTTTCATGCCTTTAACGGGCCCACCCAGGAGCGCCATAAAAACGTCTATGTAACATTCGCCCAAATATCACACAGCGACGGAGCGTAGAAAAAGTACCTATCAACGACTGGCAGGCGTCAGTTACCTTAATTCTACTCGTTTTTCACCGTCTCGACCTTGCCAGTTGATTTTCTGGTCTGTTTAGGGCAAAGTAAAAAGTTACCATTTTTAGGCCATCAGTCAAACGACTTTTGATCAGCTTTCGTTTGCATGCGAACACAACCACATAGCTGAGTCTCGGATCCTCAGACTACGTGATTGTCATTAAAAACACGGCTCGAACAACCTATTTTTATATGTTTTTGTGTGACAGTTTTATATTAAATCCATAGGAGATGGATTGACCCTTTCCTTTTTCTATCTACTCATGTCCTGAAATATCAAATAATATCGGTGTTTAATTAAGATCTAGGACATTACAGCAGCTGTTATAGTCAGTTTTCACAGTCCCTTCACATATAACAGTCTCTGGGGGACCAAGCCTCCGCTCCCGTGATTTTCTTGAGATAACACTCTTATCTCCTATATTTCGTGTCCCGGGAGGGTTCCGTGGTATTTCTCTTCCCCCCACTGAAGCCTCCGTCTCCACAAATATCTGTCGCTAAGGTCCTTATCGTGTGTTCTTGCCACGATAAGAGGCTCCGTAATTTTTCTGTCTCTGATACAACCGTTCTTCACAATTTCTATCGTTGTTCTCATTTTCGTCTTTTCTATTCAAAATGGCCGTCTTTTTTCTATTTCTCAGAAATGTTCTTCTTCCGATCGAAATTTTAAAAATAAAAATTCTAGAACATTCTGACCCTCCGTCGCAACACTTTTCTGTTCATAAGGCCTTTAGTCACTTTTTTTTCTGCCGCGGGAAGGTTATGCTGTGTCATCTGGCAGAATGGCACACAGTCAAGTCTCCTATTGGTTCAGCTCAAGTGTCCCTGAACCACTTTCCCACTCGGCTGGTCACCTCTTCCAGTGAAGTCTCCTATTGGTCCAGCTAAGTTCCAAACTATCTGAAAACCCTTGACAACGCCCCACACTCGGGCACTTTATTACGGTTACTGGGTTAAATTGCTAGGTTGATCGAAACGATCGAACTTATAAAACAGTATGGGTATACTATTTAATTAATATAAAGGTTTGATCCAACTGATCTGGTGTCAAAGTCACTGTCTTTTTTCGTTTTATGGTTTTTGTTCCTTTTTCTATTCTTTTTTGGTTTTTGTTTTGCTTTTTGTCTTTTTGCTCGTGTTTTTGTCCCCCTAGTTGCCCCCCTTTACTCGGTTAGCTAAGCCTCGTTCGGAGAGCGTACCAGGAAATTTTCTCGAGTTTTCTTAAAAAGCTATCACGGTACAACCGGAAGGTTTGCACGTCCCTGTCGAACCGTACCACCGGTACTCTAGAATGGGCATTCAGCCCGAAGCTGTCTCAAGTGTGTTCGACTCCGTAGTCTTGATGTCGTAAACACCCAGGAGCGCCATAAAAACACTATGTAACATTCGTCTACTGCAGTCACACATGAGGCTTAAGAAAAATAGGCCCTATAACCACTGGCTCAAGGGTCAGGGACACTATCTCTTGTGTTTTTCTACCTCAAGAACGGTCGGAGCCAGTTCGGTTCGTTTGTGACATGAGACTACGACCCGTTACAGCTTAAAGGCTACTACTAAAATATCCCCCCACTCTAGAATTAGAAACGTCCCCATACTTAGGTCTCTAGATACCCAAAATACATGAACGCCGTTAAAAACCGGGTTGGAACAATCCGTTAAGTTGCTTTTTTATTAGACAGTGGAACTTCGATCCATTTCAGATGGATCAACCTAAAACTCGCCCTACCTCAACATAACAATTATAAAACACACTCTAGGAATTTAAATTTGTACTCACATAGTAGCACGCTCAAGAAGTGGGAAATAATCCAGTCGGTAGTTAACTCAAGAATTAAATAACGTAACTAAATGAGTCTAATGTTTTATAGTTTTAACAATGAGAACGAGTTTATACTCTAGACAATAGTTTTCTTGTGAACCATTAGGACACTCAAGCTGTCCACCTTTCCACCGAAGGTTCACTCTAGTCCAGTTCCGAATAACACTCCAGTCGCTATAATCCAATTCGTGGGAATGCTCTCGTCTCTGTCACAGATGGGACAGCTCTACTCTCGATTATGATAGTGATGGAAATTGCGAATAGCAATTTCCTACTGCTTTTTCTTACAACTTTCCCGCGTGAGTGACTCAATCGTTCTGAAATTGTTCTGATTTCTTTTAACTGATTTTCAGTTATCGCGAGAAAATCGTGCATGACAGGTTTCATTCGAAATTTTGAAAAATTAAATTTCACTCCAAAATCAAGTGTTTTTTGCTTCTCTCAAGGTCAAACTTCCAAATATGACCGACTGGCACATATTCTCACTTTTTTATTCTCAATTTTGCGCTAAGAACATCGAATGATAATTTTTCTGGAGTAAAACTAAGTGTTTAGGGCTTGAATAAAAGTTCCATGGCTTGTCCTTCTAGAATAAGCCTGCTCGTTTGTTTTTTGGTCGAATTTAGACAGACTAAGCATCCAAAATTTTGAACCAGTTTTTCTCGACAGTGACAAACTTTTCGTTTTAGTCACATTTGGCTGAAAAAAATTAAAGAACGGTTCCTACGCCATGTTTTCTTTTTAGTCGAGAGTAGTCAGAACAATATTAAATGTGCTTTAAAAAACTCTTCAATTGATTGAGATAATCCGCTCTACTAAAGCCGCATCATTGCTGACTGGTTTTTACAAACTTTAAGTATATATTGGGCCAATAGGAATCAGTTTTTGCCTGTCTATTGGTAGATTTTCAGGTCGATATATCCCCGCCGGAGAGTTTCCTTTTCAATTTTTTCTTTGCTTCAAGACATATTTTCGCTTTTGATTAAGGAGCTTATTCTTTTGCTTGTGAAATGGAGCTTCCACTGTGTTTCAAATTAAGTTAGTTTTATTAAAAACTTTCTTGTCAATGGATCATGAAAAACGTGTAATATTTCTTTTAAAACTCTAAATTTGAAAGGTGTTTTTGGCGTACAAAGTTTTTCCAATGGTGTTGGCTGTTATGCTTCTAAGAACTTGAAAGTTTGGTGCTACTTTTCCAGCAACCGGTCCGTTTTTTCGAACCGAAGACAATGAACAGAAGGAGTAAAAGGCATCGATTTTATAATGTTTTAAGTAGTATGTGACGGATTCGTCCGTGAAATTAGTTGTTGAAACGGTTTTCATCAACCAAGAAATGAACTTCAGATTACTAAAGGATTCAGCCTAGCATGTGGTTTTTACTTCCTGTTTGCTGGAGCGGATGCGTCTCTAGCCCGGTACACGCGATGGAAATACTGGTGCATTTTTAGGCAGTAATGGATGCTAGTACATGCAGATTATGTCGTTGTCTCAGTTTGAAGGATATCATATCAAGTGGAGTCTTGTGCAATGGACTTTGCTTACCTCTGCTTTAGCAATGGCATGGTTGTGTTTGAACGTTCTTGAGCTGTTTTATTCCCCTGAGCGTTTGCTCCAATCGTAGCATTGTGTGGCTCGCGGATTGGTTGTGTATTCAAATGTCATAGCAGCCGTTTCCTTACAATGAAACCTTAGCTAAGTATATTCCACTTTTGTAAATACTGCCAAGTGCAACAGGAAATAAAAAAAGCATAAACTAAGGAAAATAGTAGGCGATTAAAAGTTTACAATTTCAGTGCCAAATTTTACCATTTGAACTCTCTTACATCTTCTTCATTTTACTACCATCTTCAGACTTTTCTGTTCTATCTTTACTGGTAAATCAGTACTACCCTTCTGTTTACTCATATCTATATGCTCATTAACTAAACACCCCTTCACCTATTATATTGACTCTGTAATTCCAGATAATTATTTCTTCTTTCGAACTTCTATGATCCGACATTTGGTTATTCAATTACTAATTCTTGCGCATCTGGCATTTAAATCTCAGGGCGAAACAACCTAGTAGTTCTAGATTACTTAACCTGCTTTGCTTTTTGACATTTTCTTCAAACCAATTTCGAGTCAATCCAGCTAAATGAAGTAGAGATCCAGTATCATTATTACATTATTAAAATTCTTCGACGAAAGAAATAGCAATATTCAGGCAACATTCTTGGTTTTTAATATATAGTTTATCTGATAGAAGAAGGTTAACTTTGCGGATTTTGATATGGCAAAAACGAAATCAAGTCAGCAGGACCGACAAGTTCATTTACCCATGAATAATAGCGATGGTGATTTCTTCTACTCCAACTCAGCTCCAAAAAAGGGGAAAAAGGCCAATTGCTGCCTTATTCTAGCAGCGAAATTCATCCACTATTTAGTTTTTGTGCCTTTCAAAATTTTTCTTTGTATCATCAGTTTGCTAGAGACTAGTGCCTGTCTGTGGTTTATCCTAATTTGCATGCCTACAATTTTGATATCGCCAGTTTTGTACAGAAAAATTGTTGATTTTTTCGTAGAGGAGTTCTGCAAGTTTACCGTGCAACTTTTCTGTATCACCAGTGGAGCGAAGTTGAAATTGAGTGGGGTTCAAATTGATAAATTGGACAAAACTACGCCGTTTGTGCGGGAGGCGTTATGGCCCGTGTTCATATGCAATCACAAAACACAAATGGACATGTTAGCAGCATGGCTCTTACTGTACAAGCTGAACATACCATGTAATGTGATTAAATTTATGGCTGCATCCTATACCCGCTATGTGCCAGGGTACGGATGTGGTCTTCAGGTCATGAGGTCAATATTTCTGACCCGGTCAAATACAGAGCGCGATTTGCAACAGATACGGGACATCATGTCGTTTCACGCGTTCTACGGCATCCCCAAGGGCTTCTTGATGTATCCCGAGGGAACTACGATCTTCAAAGAGTCCCTGCAATCTACGAACAGATTTGCCGCCAAGAACAATCTCCCACCCCGCAAACACAGTCTCTATCCCAGACACAAAGGTTAATCATTTTGAATTTCTGTTTCAGTATAAGATAAACATGGTTACTTTGGTTGCTTTTACAAATAATTTGTCATTGCTTATTTTTTTTTATTCAGAACCAAGAGTAAAGAAATGGTTTATCTCATCGAATAACATACATTGAAGGTTCTTTGGCATTAATTAGGCGATAACTTACTGACAGTAATTGGTTAAGAAGATTTATAATACAGTTTTGCCGCAGTGCTTATGGTTTTTCAGGTGTGGTGCCTTTCTATAGGTACCATCCACACATAAAGTGACTTGAAAACGAAAAACGTGCTCGTTCTTTTCAAGTGGATTCTTCTTGTAGTATAGTGTACGATGAAGGATTGGTGGAATAGCCTACTGCGTCCTTTCATGGTAAGAGCAGAGACATAGTATCTGCGGGCGGGGTTCCAGCGACATGCTTCCGAGAGCTGAGATGCGGAGTAACAGAACAGGTAGTGATGCTGTTGACTCATGGACATCAGGTTCTGGGTCCAAAATTGGTAGTTGTGTTTTGGTCGACGAGCTTTGTAAGTTCCGGTCATAGATTGTGTGTTCTTTTTTGAGTTCATAATTTCATGTGGTTTTGTATTATCAGGTCTTTATGAGCTTCTTCATGCCATGCGCGACACTTTGGTGCTAAACGAGCTGTTCGACATGACTGTTGCGTATGAGGAGTTCCGAGGCATGAACGAAGACTTCACACTTGGTCGACTATTCTTCCAGGGTCCAGTTCAGAAAAAGTACCACATCCATCTGGAAAAGCACGACGCCATACCGCTGAGTGAGTACTCGGAGCTGGAGCTGAGAGACTGGCTGTTTGAAGTGTTCGAGGAGAAGGAGAGAAGACTCGAGTTCTTTGAGAGCAACGAACCACCCTGCTTGGATTTCGGGAATAAGGACGAGGTTTACAATGCAACTTTCACTGGTTTTGAGTACTTGGCTGGTAAGTGAAACAAAAGCGCACGTTTTTGATAAGAGGAGGGGTCTACACGCGCGGCTTAACTTCCGTTGTATTACGAGGCCTTTTTTTTACAAAGCAACTGGAAAGTTAAAATGCTGGCTCATGTAAATTGAAGCATGAAATATCTTGTCTTCGTTTTGGTTGAGATGTTACGACAATATGCAAAAAACGTTATTGCCAAAGCTTCTATTTCTCAATGTTTTTATTGAGAAAAATAAGCTCAGGTTGTTCTCTGCTATTTTATCTGCAATTGACTGCCCTTTTCAGTTGGAAAGATTATTTTTTGTGCATAGGATTGTCGAGAATCATTTGGCATCTATCGCTGGTGGTGCTGATCTTCGTTCTGCCTTGGTACTACATCAGATTCTACAAGATTCACGAGTACATCGGACTCATTTGCTACCCAGTGGCACTCGTCGCACTCACCGTCCTCGGCTTCTTTGTGGGACTGGATCGCATAGAACGTGGTCTGGAAAGACTGCACTTACTTCTCATCTGTTGGCCTTTGATCCAGTGGAAGCCTGACCATATACCATGTGTACACGCTAATCCAGACGATGTGAGGCGGACACCGCAAACTAAAGAGTGGTTTGGCGGAGGATTGGGAGCCAGAATTTTCGGCGGGGAGAACAATCCATCATTGGCAATATCCAGTATCTCCAATCGCATCAGTGTTTGGACGGGGAGATTCGATTTTCCCAACTCCGGTGCCTCTGCTCCCAACCCAGAAAGCGGCGTCCTATCAGAGTTGGAACCGCGTAATATGCCGAGCTTAGAACCGACTGAAGAACCAAATGACGGCACTACTATTCATGAAACTGGCCATGTGTCTGCACTACCTGAGGAAACCAGTGCCCTGTTATCCACTCCACCCGCAACTTCAAATAGTTCTGATTTTGATAAGAAGGAATACGACACAATACCTCAGCATCGCCAGTCACCTCCCATTCATATCCGTTCACAGTGTTCCAACTCTATTGCATCTGGTTCAGTCGACGCCCTTTTGCAGTGCTAGCTAGCTCTATAAATTTTCATATTTTTATGCTTTGAACAAGCAATTGGTTCTGGAATTCAGTGTTATCAAGACTGAATTAAATAGTGCAGTGTTATCAAGACTTCTTTATAAAAACAATTTTTATTGTTTGGCGATTAATTAAAAGTGCAGAATAAGTACGGCTGTCCAAGTTAAACAGAGGTTTCAGCCACAGATTGTTTTGAATGATTTTCTTTGCCAAAAAATGGTTCAAATTTTCCGAGGACACTGGTTGTTAATCTGGCAATAATTTTGGGATCTGATTTGAAAACTTTGGATAACTTTTCTGTTACAAAACGCAAAAAGGTACTGGAATTAATTTGGAGTATCACCGCCGATTAATAATGTTGTTTATCAAGAAATTTGATTTTCCATTGAATTCAGGTATAATGGAGAAAGGTTTTTTTAAGTGTCAATGAACCTAGTGAAGCCATCTATATACAGTCATGCGGCATAGAAGTTGCATTTTTTCGTTTTCAGGCGACGAAATTAATGAAAATTTGTTCACGTTTGTGCTGTCTTCTCGACAACTACCAGAGATTCAAGTTTGATATTTTGACATGATTGATCAAACTGTTTGTAAAACCGGTTAAAAAACCGTTAAAAGTTGTTGACAAGGCGCCGTTGGGCCATTTACGTAGAGGGCGTAGGAGAGGTGTTCTCAGTGCCCAAAAGTCTCCGTAAACAGCAGAATCAGTTTGAGCAGATTCAGTAAACAGCAGAATCAAATTTAAGGCTTAAAAGTTTTTGTAGAAAGCAAAAAAAAACGGATTTTTTTGTAGCTTAGTCGATTTTTTGTATTTCTTCGGCAGTTTTTAAATTGCTTCTGCAGTTAACAGTGGTTTATCGGTATTGAAAACACCTCTCCTACGCCCTCTACTTAAATAGTCGAAAGACGCCACGGAAACGGTTTTTTATCCAGCAATATTCTTATAAACTGAATTTTCTGTACAAATTGGGATTTTTCCGAAATAGTGTAAAAATTGTAAATTTTGCAATTATTCGCCGCATAGCACTGTTTACTTTGTTCAATTTTTTTGCTACAGTGGAAATCTCTCTTTTTAAGTTTTTTTGAATAGTCCTTGTGCGAGTGACTTGGTAAGTTAATCAAAAATAGTCAGCTCTATGCAGCAAAAAATCTTGTGCGTTGATTCTTGGTAAAAAATAGTAAAATTGACCTCAAATTATTTAGCCTTAAAATTCTTTGCATGGTTAAAGCAGGATTTCAACAAGTTTGAGCTGCAATAGGTCAAGAAAAGTAACAGGTTTTCACATCTACTAAAAATGCAAGCTTACATCAATCTGTCATAAAAACAGGCCTTGAAAACTAGAGAAAATCGCTCTTTTACAAGCCACAGATTGTTTTCAATGATTTCTTTTGCCAAAAATGGTTCAAATTTTCTGAGGACACTGGTTGTTAAGCTGGCGATGATTTTGGGATCTGATTTGAAAACTTGGGATAAAATTTCTGTTAAAAAACGCAAAAAGGTAGTCGATTTAATTGAAGCATCTCTGCCGAATTAAAAATGTTTTATCACGAAATAATTTGATTTTCCATAAATTCAGGTATAATGGAGAAAGGTTTTTTTTTTAAGTGTCAATGAACCTCGTGAAGCCATTTATATACAGTCATGCGGCATAGAAGTTGTATTTTTTCGTTTTCAGGCGACGAAATTAATGAAAATTTGTTCACGTTTGTGCTGTCTTCTCGACAACTACCAGAGATTCAAGTTTGATATTTTGACATGATTGATCAAACTGTTTGTAAAACCGGTTAAAAAACCGTTAAAAGTTGTTGACAAGGCGCCGTTGGGCCATTTACGTAGAGGGCGTAGGAGAGGTGTTCTCAGTGCCCAAAAGTCTCCGTAAACAGCAGAATCAGTTTGAGCAGATTCAGTAAACAGCAGAATCAAATTTAAGGCTTGAAAGTTTTTGTAGAAAGCAAAAAAAAAAAACGGATTTTTTTGTAGCTTAGTCGATTTTTTGTATTTCTTCGGCAGTTTTTAAATTGCTTCTGCAGTTAACAGTGGTTTATCGGCATTGAAAACACCTCTCCTACGCCCTCTACTTAAAAAGTCGAAAGACGCCACGGAAACGGTTTTTTATCCAGCAATATTCTTATAAACTGAATTTTCTGTACAAATTGGGATTTTTCCGAAATAGTGTAAAAATTGTAAATTTTGCAATTATTCGCCGCATAGCACTGTTTACTTTGTTCAATTTTTTTGCTACAGTGGAAATCTCTCTTTTTAAGTTTTTTTGAATAGTCCTTGTGCGAGTGACTTGGTAAGTTAATCAAAAATAGTCAGCTCTATGCAGCAAAAAATCTTGTGCGTTGATTCTTGGTAAAAAAAATAGTAAAATTGACCTCAAATTATTTAGCCTTAAAATTCTTTGCATGGTTAAAGCAGGATTTCTACAAGTTTGAGCTGCAATAGGTCAACAGGTTTTCACATCTACTAAAAATGCAAGCTTACATCAATCTGTCATAAAAACAGGCCTTGAAAACTAGAGAAAATCGCTCTTTTACCAGCCACAGATTGTTTTTAATGATTTCTTTTGCCAAAAATGGTTCAAATTTACTGAGGACACTGGTTGTTAAGCTGGCGATGATTTTGGGATCTGATTTGAAAACTTGGGATAAAATTTCTGTTAAAAAACGCAAAAAGGTAGTGGATTTAATTGAAGCATCTCTGCCGAATTAGAAATGTTTTATCACGAAATAATTTGATTTTCCATAAATTCAGGTATAATGGAGAAAGGTTTTTTTTTAAGTGTCAATGAACCTCGTGAAGCCATTTATATACAGTCATGCGGCATAGAAGTTGCATTTTTTCGTTTTCAGGCGACGAAATTAATGAAAATTTGTTCACGTTTGTGCTGTCTTCTCGACAACTACCAGAGATTCAAGTTTGATATTTTGACATGATTGATCAAACTGTTTGTAAAACCGGTTAAAAAACCGTTAAAAGTTGTTGACAAGGCGCCGTTGGGCCATTTACGTAGAGGGCGTAGGAGAGGTGTTCTCAGTGCCCAAAAGTCTCCGTAAACAGCAGAATCAGTTTGAGCAGATTCAGTAAACAGCAGAATCAAATTTAAGGCTTGAAAGTTTTTGTAGAAAGCAAAAAAAAAACGGATTTTTTTGTAGCTTAGTCGATTTTTTGTATTTCTTCGGCAGTTTTTAAATTGCTTCTGCAGTTAACAGTGGTTTATCGGCATTGAAAACACCTCTCCTACGCCCTCTACTTAAAAAGTCGAAAGACGCCACGGAAACGGTTTTTATCCAGCAATATTCTTATAAACTGAATTTTCTGTACAAATTGGGATTTTTCCGAAATAGTGTAAAAATTGTAAATTTTGCAATTATTCGCCGCATAGCACTGTTTACTTTGTTCAATTTTTTTGCTACAGTGGAAATCTCTCTTTTTAAGTTTTTTTGAATAGTCCTTGTGCGAGTGACTTGGTAAGTTAATCAAAAATAGTCAGCTCTATGCAGCAAAAAATCTTGTGCGTTGATTCTTGGTAAAAAAATAGTAAAATTGACCTCAAATTATTTAGCCTTAAAATTCTTTGCATGGTTAAAGCAGGATTTCTACAAGTTTGAGCTGCAATAGGTCAAGAAAAGTAACAGGTTTTCACATCTACTAAAAATGCAAGCTTACATCAATCTGTCATAAAAACAGGCCTTGAAAACTAGAGAAAATCGCTCTTTTACCAGCCACAGATTGTTTTTAATGATTTCTTTTGCCAAAAATGGTTCAAATTTACTGAGGACACTGGTTGTTAAGCTGGCGATGATTTTGGGATCTGATTTGAAAACTTGGGATAAAATTTCTGTTAAAAAACGCAAAAAGGTAGTGGATTTAATTGAAGCATCTCTGCCGAATTAGAAATGTTTTATCACGAAATAATTTGATTTTCCATAAATTCAGGTATAATGGAGAAAGGTTTTTTTTAAAGTGTCAATGAACCTCGTGAAGCCATTTATATACAGTCATGCGGCATAGAAGTTGCATTTTTTCGTTTTCAGGCGACGAAATTAATGAAAATTTGTTCACGTTTGTGCTGTCTTCTCGACAACTACCAGAGATTCAAGTTTGATATTTTGACATGATTGATCAAACTGTTTGTAAAACCGGTTAAAAAACCGTTAAAAGTTGTTGACAAGGCGCCGTTGGGCCATTTACGTAGAGGGCGTAGGAGAGGTGTTCTCAGTGCCCAAAAGTCTCCGTAAACAGCAGAATCAGTTTGAGCAGATTCAGTAAACAGCAGAATCAAATTTAAGGCTTGAAAGTTTTTGTAGAAAGCAAAAAAAAACGGATTTTTTTGTAGCTTAGTCGATTTTTTGTATTTCTTCGGCAGTTTTTAAATTGCTTCTGCAGTTAACAGTGGTTTATCGGCATTGAAAACACCTCTCCTACGCCCTCTACTTAAATAGTCGAAAGACGCCACGGAAACGGTTTTTTATCCAGCAATATTCTTATAAACTGAATTTTCTGTACAAATTGGGATTTTTCCGAAATAGTGTAAAAATTGTAAATTTTGCAATTATTCGCCGCATAGCACTGTTTACTTTGTTCAATTTTTTTGCTACAGTGGAAATCTCTCTTTTTAAGTTTTTTTGAATAGTCCTTGTGCGAGTGACTTGGTAAGTTAATCAAAAATAGTCAGCTCTATGCAGCAAAAAATCTTGTGCGTTGATTCTTGGTAAAAAAATAGTAAAATTGACCTCAAATTATTTAGCCTTAAAATTCTTTGCATGGTTAAAGCAGGATTTCAACAAGTTTGAGCTGCAATAGGTCAAGAAAAGTAACAGGTTTTCACATCTACTAAAAATGCAAGCTTACATCAATCTGTCATAAAAACAGGCCTTGAAAACTAGAGAAAATCGCTCTTTTACCAGCCACAGATTGTTTTTAATGATTTCTTTTGCCAAAAATGGTTCAAATTTACTGAGGACACTGGTTGTTAAGCTGGCGATGATTTTGGGATCTGATTTGAAAACTTGGGATAAAATTTCTGTTAAAAAACGCAAAAAGGTAGTGGATTTAATTGAAGCATCTCTGCCGAATTAGAAATGTTTTATCACGAAATAATTTGATTTTCCATAAATTCAGGTATAATGGAGAAAGGTTTTTTTTTAAGTGTCAATGAACCTCGTGAAGCCATTTATATACAGTCATGCGGCATAGAAGTTGCATTTTTTCGTTTTCAGGCGACGAAATTAATGAAAATTTGTTCACGTTTGTGCTGTCTTCTCGA